TAATCAATGTAATGAAACAAGTTATATGAATTGTTGAATGTGAAACTGATGATGTGCCCTGTAAACTTTCACTCAATGCACAATAAAAACCTTAAATTAAAAAAAAAAAGAAAGAAAGAAAGAAAAGTTTAAAGCTGCAAAGGACAGGCCAAATGTGTCTCAGTGCTAACAGCATGGAAATTTAGGTAGGGACTGTTACAGCTCAGTCTAGAAAGTTCCAAACCTCTTTCTAAAATTATCAAGCCATCCTATGCAGGCATTAAATTCTCTAGCTTTTATATCCTTCATCTTCCTTTTTCTTGAAGTTGCCATATAATGCCTTTGCTTTTTATCTAATCACATTACAGCCTGTAGGAATGCCTTCCTTTAGCAGTTCTGTAGATATTATCATATTCAATGCATGAGGCAGTATAAAAGAAACTGGAAAGCACCTGAGTAGTACATCAGACAAATACATGGGTGGTTGAACTTTCCTTGCATAACTCTAAATAAAATGACCTTTTCTTTACTAACACCTTGTGATTGCGTTACAATTGTGAGCTCATTACAATTATAAGATGGGTAGTTCCTGCATTAGGTCATACATATTTTACTAGTAACTTGACACAAATAATATGCTGCCATGGATTTTACATAATTAAAGAATCTTCACCAAATATACATGGTTTCTTTGTCAGGTAAACTATGTCTGGTGGTGGTGATGCACCGTAGAGTTGGTTCTGACTCATCACGACCCTGTATAGGGTCTCCAAGGCTGTAAATCATTACGGGAGCAGAAAGCCTCATCTTTCTCTTTTGGAACCACTGGTAGTTTCAAACTGCTGACCTTGAGATTAGCAGCCCGACTCGTAATCACTATGCTACAGAGCTCCTCCAATTATGTCTACTGCTTACCAAATCAAACTATTACTAAAAGAATTAATTCTGTTGCAGGTTTTGAGGATATAGTGGAACTTCTTTCTAACAGATGATTTCCTGTGAGACTAGTTTATGAACAAATGGCTTTAATAGCAGCTTTAAACTGACTGGAATGCCAAATACTTTCCTTTTTTTGCCAAATACATTTTTGGACAAACCTCTTTCTCATTACAATTTAAGGAGTTTTCAACTATATCTATTGCGTTCTTATGT